CAGCATCGTCAACGTGTTCGCCATCATGGGCGCCGTTATCGTTCGTGCCGTCGCCCTCTTGAACATCGCCGTCGCTGGCGTCATCTTCGTCATTGTCGCAGACGTTGCCGACGTCATCTTGTAATCGCACACGTCCGAGCATCGTCGACGACAGCAGAGCATCGGCAGTGAGGATGTTATCGTCGATGTCGTCATCGGTGGCGCCGCCGTCCCCCGCATCATGAGTTCTGCCAAACATGTTGCGGGTGGGTGGGTGGGATGTTTGCAAGAGCCTAGGGGGTGGTCAAGCGCGGTGCAGGGTAGTCGATTCTCCTTTATAAAAAAATAATAGAACATACCCCCCCCAGCGTTATCCGCCCCCCTTTTCGGGTATGTAAATCATTTATGATTCTGACCACATGTCCATCCTAAATATGAATTTACGGTATCCCAGGGGGGCCGTATCGGCCCCCCTGAGGTTCCTTTTTTGTTTGCAAAAAAAAAAAACGCGGGGACATCTGTGGTTCTAACACCAGACTTTTCCATGAACCCCTTGCCAAAAATTTGACAAAGTGCGCACGCGCGCGTCGTCGCGCGCGCATGCTGAAATCCTTCAAAAACCTTCGGTCCGGAAAGATTTCGCAATCGAGATCCGAGAAAAAACATGCAAACACACAGGGTTTCGCCACACTGCTTTGATAAAATGCTTACGCGCGAGCTCTTGCGAAATCTTAAGAAAACCGTCGGGTTTTCACGATTTTCAGAAAATGCTACGAAACGGGATTCGCGCGCGCGCGTGTCGAAATCTGTCCAACGCCCTTGCGCGTGTGCCGTCGCGAGAATCCTCTGTGAAAAACAAGCCGAAGAGCAGACGCGCGCGTCGTCGCGCGCGTATGCCAGATCCTTCAAAACCCATCGGTTCCGGAAGGAGTTCAAAATCGTGTGTCCAAAAAACCTACAAAAACAAAAGGTTTCGCAACACGGATTTTCAACAAAAGCGTGCGCGCGCGCTCTTGCGTCGTCGTCGTCGTCGCCGTCCTCCCTCCTCCCGCGTCGTCGTCGTCGTCGCCTACGTCGTCCTCTGTCTTTCCTTGTGTTCGTCGTCGTCGTCCTCTTTGGCGTCGTGGTCGTTTCCGTCGTCGTTGTCGCCGTGGTCGTCCTTCCTCCTCCTCCCTCGTCGTCGTCGTCGTCCGTCGTCGGCGTCTCGTCGTCGTCCCTCCTATTTCGTCGCCGTCGTCGTCGTCGTCGTCGTTGTCGTCGTCGTCGTCTTCCCTCCTCCCTCGTCGTTGTCGTCGTCGGCGTCGATGTCCTTCCTCCTTTTTCGTCGTTCGCGTCGTCGCCGTCCTCCCTCCTCCCTCGTCGTCGTCGTTGTCGTCGTTGTCGCCGTCGTCGTCCTCCCTCCTCCCTCGTCGTCGTCGTCGTCTTCGTCGTCGTCGGCTTCGGCGTCGTCGTCGTCTTCGTCGTCGTCGGCGTCTGCGTCGTCGTCGCCGCCGTCGTCGTCGTCGTCGTCGTCGTCGGCGTCGTTGACGTCGCCGGCGTCGTCGGTGTCGTCGTTGTCGTCGTCGGCGTCGTCGTCGTCGTCGTTGTCATCGTCGTCGTCGTCGTCGGCATTGGCGTCGTCGTCGTCGGTGTTTTCGTCGTCGTTGTCGGCGTCGTCGAAGTCGTTGGAGACGTCGTCGGTGTCGTCGTAGTCGTTGTCGGCGGCGTCGTCGTCGTAGTCGTTGTCGCTGTCGTCGTCGGCGTCGCTGTCGTTGCCAAGTGCCATTCGGTACCCACTGTCACGGTCTTAAGAGATGTTGCAAACCAAGTTGCGGGTGGGTGGGTGGGATGTTTGCGCGAGCAGTGGAGTGGACAACTCACTGCGAACTGAAATGAATTGCACCACGTAGAATGCACCACACAGATTGCATTACGCTGGATGCATCGCATACATTGCATCATAGAATGCACCGCATTGGCTGCAATAACCTACTGTTTGGGGTGCCCGCTGCAAGCCTCTTTTGTTGCGACGACCATCAAGCCGATCTACGGCTTCAGGAATGGCGCATGGAACGATACGAATGAACTCCAAGAGGCAGCACGAAGGGGAAGGAGGAGGAGAAGGAACAGGAAGAAAAGGAGGAGGAGCCAGGGTAGCCATGGGTCTGTCAACACGCGCCTACACGGCGGGCGCGCCTGCCCGGGCGATCAGCTCATCAGAACAGTCATCCGATTGAGCGAAACGGTGATCATCTCCGACCTCGCCTTCTGCGTCTGGGGGCCATGCTGCAACCAGAGCGGGGCTGGAACCGGGCCGCACTCGAAAAGATCTTGCGCGCGAGGGTGGCGTGGCCAGCACCGTCGAAGGCGTCGTCGAAAGGGAGGGCGCCGGAGGCGTCGCCATCAGCGTCGGGGGACTCCAGCTGGTCGTCGGCGCCGTCGGTGACCACGGCAACGTCGCTGTAGGAACCGACGAGCAAGAACCACTCGGGGAGCAGCACGGCAGAGGTCAGACGCGGACTGCACGACTCATCAGGACGTGGATTGGCACGGCCATCGCCATGAGCTGAAAGATGGTCCAACGAGAACACCGAGGATGTGAGCGGCACGCGTTCGACGAAATGTCCTGCGTCGGCAGGGTCGGCGTCACCACCGAAGCGGAGGAGGAGGAGCAGGAGCAGAGGGTAGCGGCAAAGGCGGTGTGTGTATGTGTGTGTGGTGTATGTGTGTGTGTGTGTGTGTGCGTGTGTGCGTGTGCATTCCCACCGCCGAGCACCGCCCGTTTGGCTGCGCTTCCCCCGCCCGCCGCCGGCGCCCTGGCGCCGCGGCCTTGCTTTCTCTCCACTCCGGCGCGCGAGCGCAGGCAGCGACTTTCGGACGGCCTGTGCTCGGCTCGGGCCGCGACGCTCAAAACCAATATGCGCACACATATAAATATATATATAGAGAGAGAGAAAGAGAAATATAGAGAGAAATATCGATGTGGATATGTGTATATATAAAATATGAGTGCGCGTGTATTCAGCCTAGAAGCTGAGCGCGAGGCCGCGACCGCCGAAGTGTGTGTGTGTGTGCGCGTGTGTTGTGTGTTGTGTGTGTGCGTGTGTGTGTGTGTGTGTGTGTGTCTGTGTGTGTGTGTGTGTGTGTGTGTGCGCGTGCCTCCCATGTGGTCCAAACGGCCAGGCTGGGCGCAGGAGGTGGCGGCAATTATCATACCTCCACGGCCTCGCCACATAACATAAGCCTCCGTTGGCGGCTGCACTCTGCACCTGCGGGACGTACAGAGCACGGAATCCAGTGGCACAGGCGAGGCTCCACATCTGGCCTCAGACATATGTCGGCGGCGAGCCCAGGGGGCAAGAGGGGGGGGATCTCTGAGATCCAGCGGTTATGGAGGCTGCATTCGGCGCCGCAGCCTTATAGACAGCTCTGGAACGCTCTGAGATCTTTCTGAAACGCTCTGGAACTATTTATCCTGGTCCTACCCCCGCCCAACCATGGGAGAGCGATCAGGGCATCGGAAGCGTCGTCTGGGAGCGCTCACTCGGGAGCTCCTGTTTAGCAGCTTGTCCTCCTTCTTGCTGCTGCTTCTCCTCCCCTCGAACCTCGCACTTCCCTCTCCTGCAGATGCTGCTGATTACTCTACTGCGTGCTGCTCATCCGCCTCCAGGAGTCCACGAAGGCCGCTCAAAAACCATCGAACAACCAACTCGACCACCCTCCCTCCTCCTCTGGCCGAAGCCCTCCCAATGTAAAGCTGCCAGGGCCACCCCCATCAGGTCCGAGTGTAGAGGTTCAATGGTTCGAGGCTCCAGGTTCGAAGGTGGTTCGAGGTTTGAGGGTTCACACCACTTGGGTCTGCGGGACGCCTACGGGGCTTCTGGGGACAAGTGACATTCGGGGCGGGGCCTTCAGAGACCGCATCCTCGGCATGGATCTCACAAGTGCGGGTGAGAGTCACAGCCAGGAGCTCTTGCTTAGCGTGTCGCGGCGGCATCCTCAGTTCGCGGGGCGGCAGGCTGTGCAAAGCTGGTGACGCTGACGCTTGGGGACTCGGGACGCGATTAGCGTGTTGCGCCGAAGCGTGGAAGGCCAGAATCGACGGCGCGATATGCTAGGCAAATTCTGCTGACCGTAAACTGGCAGAGCCCGTGGCAGGCCTCTTGCTGTAATGCCTCTTGCTCTTGCTTTCGGTCCTCCCCCACGCCCTTTCGCCCACCTCGTCCTGATGATATTGTCTCCTTCTCATCCTCCTTCCCATCCTCCCCCTCTTCGTCTTTGCCCTGTCTGTTCTGCAGCTCCCCTCCCCGCCATGCTCCACCGGCCACAGGGGTACTGTGCTCGACGTGTCTGTGACCACTGGTCCCCCTCGCCGACTCCAGTGAAACCCAAACGCACACCCTCCTGCTCACCCTCTTCGACATGCCCCCCCTGGCCAAGAGCGAGGCAAAACAGGTCGCCTTGGAATTAGGCCACGGGGACCCAGGGTTGAGGACAGAATAACAGTTCTCATAAAAAAGACAAAACGGCAAGCGAAGCCTCTTGGCAAGCGCACGTGAGAAAGGGATCGATCGAGCAGGACGGGGCGGTTAACACCACAGGGCTGTTTAGGGAACGCTAGATGTGGGGGTCGGGTGGGTCCTCCCTCCCTTGAGGAAAAAGAAGACGCTCACAACAGAGGGGCAAGGAGCACACCGAACCCACATGTCGGTTCAGGAAACCCTGAACCCAAAAAATTGCTGCCATAGCACGAGGGCGCACATTTGACTTCCGCCGGCGGAGGCGCCCTCGTTTCCTCCGCCCGGCTTCTGCCAGCATTCAGCAAGCTTCCGGTAGGGAAGATATGCCAACCCTTTCGATTTCTCGAAGTCGAAGCCCTGTCTGGGGCGCCCCAGTGATGAGATCTCAACCCGCCAGGGGGGCGGCTCGGCGCAGAATCAAGAAAACCCTGGCTCAAAGATGGCTGGCGCCGTGCTCTCTCGAGGGGCAATCGCCGTCAGGCTTCCCCTCAGCCTGCGGGCTCGGGACCGGGCGGGCCGGGCCTGGGCGCTCTGCGGCTGCGCCTGCGCGATGGCCTCGGGCTCCACCTGCGTGCGCGACCCGCAAAGCGGAGGCACCCGTGCCCTTCAACTGACAGGGGCGCTCGAGGTGAAGTTTTCATGGCGCGCTCTACAAGTGGGCTTTGCCCCTCTTCCCTGCGGGGGAGGGAAGAGGGGGAGGAGGTGGGAAGATGTCGCAGACGGAAAGCATAGAGGTACAGGGGGCAGGGCGGGGAAACCAGTGAGGGACAGGGGTGGGGTGGGAAGAGAGGAAACATAAAAGGGTCGGGGTGAGCCAAGAGGTTGAGGAGGGAACAACAAGCGTACACTTCGAGAACCTTCATGGTCGATCCTCCTCATGCTTCTCCTCCACGCCTCTCCGTTCTGACCAACTCTTCGTCGTCGCACTACCAGGCGTGCGGGAGGGCGGCATGGGCGGTTCGCTTAACTCTTCTATAAAGCACCTGCTGATAGAACATGCAGACGCCTGGCAGTCACACAGAGGGAAGGAGGGTCGTGTTCGAAATGTAGCTATCGACTAAGCGACGCGCACTCTCGTATTGACGTATCGCAACAAACGCGCTCGCGGCGGGCTCGCGGCTTGCAACAAATAGCCCCCTTCCTTAGCGCCAAGCACAATCGTCTTGAAATATTTCAGCACTCGCAGAGATTTAGGCGACCTCCTTCAGATGTGTGAGCCGTCTTGACGTAACGCGCATCCGTTCTTCAACTTGCGAAAATGGCACATCCATAGGGCGTCCGTCTTTCAAGGGGGCGCGCGCCCTACTGACAATGGGAACTCGAAGGGAAATCAGGAGAAGGAGTCGAGTACAATTATGCACAGCGATACAGGCCAGCCAAGATAAAGCCGAACTGCGGGCCTAGTTGACTAATCGAGTAGGCCTCTGTTGTCCCCACGCGATGTCAAATCGACCTGACTTAGCACACGACGGATGTGAGTTGTGTAGTGGCGCCCTTGCTAGTGTAAGTAAGCCCTGCTTTGTGTTGCAGCATGGCAGATGTATCGTGGGCTTGCTCCTGTCCTCCTGCTCCCTCCTCTCCTCCTCTTCCCACTCACCGCCCCATCGCTTTGGTGGCCCAAGAGAATACGTAGCACCCCGCAATTGCGGCCACGGGTGGGTCGCGGGTGGGTTGCGGGTGGTTCGCGGTGTGTGTGTGTGTGTGTGTCTGTGTGTGTGTGTGTGTGGCAGGGTGGGTCGCGGTTGCGTCGCGGGGGTGCCGCGGGGGCACGACAACGAACATTAACAACAAACAACATCTGGGCCACGGGGTCCAACGCACCAAGGGATGGTGTAAGACCGTTCGGCCCCCCCTCTCCTGTATCGATCTGGCGGGCCATGGGCAAGGGCAGATGCGCCCACTCCGCCCCGCTCGCTCTCCGGCCTGACGTCAGCCTGGAGCCCTCCTGCACCGTCGTGACCACGGCCCCCTGCCTTCGACAAGCCTGAGCTGGATCGAATCGTGGAGTCGGGTCGGACTGAACCGGATCGGATCGCCAGAGAATCGTTTCGAATCGAATCGAAATCAGATCGCCGCGCCTGGCTCTGGCGGGCCCCAGCCGATACCACCGAACCGAACCGAATCGAATCGGAATCGCGCTGGCAATCGGTAAATCGAATCGCATCGAATCAGGTCGTAGGCGGCCCTGCGTGACGTCGGCTTGGCGCCTCCCTGCCCCGTCGTGACCGTGACCCTCTCCTCTGCCCCGCGAGGCTGCCGCTGCGAGGCGGGGATTTATGCATCACCACCGCCTGGGGGATCGATCTTCGAGGACCTCGGCAGGCGGTAGATATGGAAATGTTTGGCCATCCCATGGCCGAATATATTCATGTCCACCGCCTGCCGGGGTCCCCGATGATCGATCCCCAAGACGGTGGCGATGGATGAGTGGCAACCTTAGGGTTGGACTGGCTCAGGGGGGATGCGAGCTGGAACCAGCGATACATCGCTGATGGATCGGCGATATGTCCCCGATAGCGTAACCGCACGGTCCTGGGTGGGGCGGATAATTGGGTCCCCATGCACCATGCACCATGCATCCCCCCTGAGCCTACCTCACCTAACGTTTCCCTGGTTTCCGGGTCATAACTCAGCTTTCTGGCGGCCGTTCGGGACGATCCCAGCAACCCCAGAAAGGTCTCGGCGAGGCGCAGCCGCTGGAAGGCATCCCGAGGCTGGAAAACCACCGACATCTTACGAACACATCATCAAACCGCAGACATCCTACGAACATGCCAGACGAACCCAACGAGCATCCCCGCCGCTGAGCCGCGCCCGACGGCTGCCCGGGCGCTATGTGCCCGCTCCGCCTGCACCTCGTGCTTTCTTCCCGTGCCGGCTGGCAGCTGGGCGGGCACCTCTACCGCGGCGGCGGCACACCGGTCCGCCTCGTGCGGCGGGGGCGATGCAACGCGCGGAAGAGGCACGCGCAGGCGAGAGGAAGGGGGCTCCTTTTTCGCCACCTACCAACCGACAGAGGGCTGCGCGCGGAGGCCTGCGGCGCAGAGTGGGGCGATACGAATCAACCCCAAAGCGTATCTGGCGAGGAGAGGAGGGGGATGGTAAGGCTTCGGGTGGCGCACATGACAGCCCATCCGGGATCCAGGTAGTCCCCGCTTGCCTCAACAGCGCGGGGCGCTCCGTTCCCCAGGGCTGGGGTGCTGAGACCGCCCTGGACTACCCGAGGGGGCCAGCCGGGGTCTACCTTGGGGGCTGTCTGGAGGAGGTAATTCGAGCCTGGAGGTTTTGGCTTTTCTGTAATTTTCAGCCTTTGGAGGCACGCTCCAGGCCCTGGGAGAATCACAGGTCGACCTGTGCAGAAGAAGCTGGCCAGGAGAAGCCCTGGGAGGGGGACAAGAGAATGATCTGGGGCGGAGTCCCGACGAGAAGGCGTAAGAGAAAGTGGGAGCAAGGCGAGCTGTCGAGAGCGGCACGCGGACACCGTTCAGAGCCCATTCGGCGCGAGGCCCGCAAGACAGGCGCGCACGCTCGCCGTCGCGTGAAGCTGCCCGTGTCTCCCAGACCAGTGCGCAGCGCAGTGATGACGCCACCACGTGATGCAGGCTGCACCACTGCCACCGTGCGAAGTGCCGACGGGCATCAGGCGCGCCACGGCGCCGCGCGCGGCGTGCCCTGGCTGCGCGGACCAGTCCCGCGCACGATGGCCATCGAGTCGTGAGGTGCAGCGGCAGAACTCCTGGGCCGCACCCCGGACTACTCATGGGCGGCTTCGCGCGACGGCGCGCGCGCGTGCGTCGTGCGGACCTTGCGCCGAATGAGCTCTGAACGAGGCCCGGTTGCCGCTCTCGATTGTAGCGATTGCTGCCCCTCGGGCAGGCACGTGAGTTGAGCTCGGACTCAGCAACTTCTCATCCGCCCTCTCCTCCTCATCGACGTCATCGCCCTGCCGATCGCCCGCCTCGGACCTCTTGTTCCGACATCCTTCAGCCACCCGCTCCTTCGCCTTGTCCTACAAACTCCCCCTGTGCGTCCGCCTCCGCCACCGCCGCCACATCGGCCTCCTCCTCCTCCTGCCCATCCTCCTCCTCCTCCCGCTCTCGCTCCCCCTCCTCTGTTCTCCTCCGTCCTCCATTATTTGTCCGTGTTGAGATTCGTCATCATCTGACCACCAGATACTCCTCCTTGTTGATGACGTAGAACAGTTACACGGGTGGAGGGGGCAATGTTTCTCGCTTTAGCGCCAGGCATGTTCGCCTTAAGAGCTTCCATAAGTTACACGGAAGGAGCCTTAGCGGCGCGCGCTGCTCTCAACAATTCCAGCAGGGCAAACGCACGGAATGCGGGTAATCTGCAGAATGCAGTTCTTGCCTTAGCGCAAGGCATGTTCGTCATGAAAGCCCCAATCTGATACAATAGCGGAGGGCGGCTCTTTTTCACAATCCAGCTCTCGCCGTAGCACCGCGCACATTCGTCTTAAATGTTTGCAGTATGTGTGCGAAGGGAGTTTCCGACCGATATGTGGCTCTCGCATAAGTGCTGCGCAGCTTGATCATGCAAGCTCGAAGCCGCTACACGGATGAAGGGCGGCTCTGTTTCAACATGTAACTCTCGACATGGTGCCGCGCACATTTGTTCTCCAATTCCCAACCGTTGCCCGCATGGAGGGCGGTTATTTGAGAGCCGCGTGCATTCTCTTTAAGAAATCCCAACTATAACGCGGATTGAGTGTGGGGGTCAGCATGTGGTTCTCGCTTGGGCGCCGCGCGCTTTTGTTGTACAAGCCTCCAGTACTTGTATTCAGATATGGAACGCAATGTGCCTCTTGTAATGGATATGTCCGTTGAGACTTCCGTGGTCCTTGTGACATTGTACCTGGCTCTGTGCGGCAGCAGCACTGATGGAGGACGGCTTCTTTTGAGATCGGGGCTCACGCTCGAGACTTTCTCAGTTTTGATGGCAATAATCAACACCTGCACGTAGTAAGATTGTTTTTTCAAGACGGGGCTCTCGGTGGACGGTTCTGTAGCATGCAAGACTATACCTCGTCGCCGTCCTCCAAATAGAAGAATGGATGACAACTTCTATTCAAAACGGGCTCTCGCCAGAAACGCTGGCCCGTGGGGCGGTCGCCTTTCAAGGGGGCATTTCCTACCGCCCAAAGGAACTCGTGCAGGGTCTTCTCAGGGGGCTTGGGAAGGGCAGGCGTGTTGCCGCATCGTTGATGCACCTTGGGTCGACCCTGGACCGAACACATGCCCGTCTTAGGAATATCGACTGGTGCCCCACACATCAATGCCCTGAGCGGCCATCCCCACCTCCGCCACGCCTCGCCCCTTCGCTCGAGGCACGCTCGCCTGCGCAGCCTGGCCCGCGGCGTCCTCGACCTCCGTCTGGAAAGGCAGGGGCGGGGGGGCGGGGGGGGGACGATGTCGAACTCCGAGGCTAGCTTCGAACTTCGAGGGTCGAGGCTGGTAAGACTCCAGGTTGCACACAGACGACCCCCCAAGGTAGTCTTGGCTGGCCTCACAAGGCTCCCCGAGTAGCCTGCGGCAATCTCAACAGCTCGGTGCCGCCTCCAGCAGCGCCCCCTGGGCGCTCCGTGCCCCAGGGTTGGGATGCTGAGTCTGCTCCAGACTGTTCGGGTGGCCCGTTGAGGCCACTCGGGATTGCCAAGAGTGGCTGTCTGCGCGCAATACAAAGCCTCCTTACCTGTCGAGGCTTGTTTTACATAGTTTTTGGATTTCTTGACTCGCAGCGGCCCGACTCCCCCCAAAATGCTCGATGGAAACGCGCACGTGGACAGGTCGGGGGATCGATCTTTGAGGGGGGCGGCGCAATCCCCGGAGCCGTCAGAAACAATTCTGGATGAGAAGCCAGCCCCCGGGATCGGAAAGTGCGGGGCCCATGTTGTGAGAGAGTCGCGACGTCGGGGGTCGGGGGTGGGGACGAGGGCCGAGGGAAGGGGAGGAGTGAAGGAGAGGGGGAGGGGACAAGCTAGGTGCGCTTGCGCCACAAATGACATCCTACCCCTCCCTCCCAGCCTTTGCCATTGCGCCGATTTCCGCGGACGCGTGGCAAAGCTGGCCTGGCCAAACAGAAGACACCTTCCTGGCAGGCGCAAGCGGAAAAAGGGGATCTGCACACATAGAAGGAGGAGGAGGGGGAGGAGGAGGAGGAGGAGGAGGAGGATGAGGAGGAGGAGGAGGAGGAGGAGGAGGATGAGGATGAGGAGGAGGAGGAGGAGGGGGAGGAGGAGGGGGACGCTAGACTCGACCTGGAAGGTCATGCAGAAAAATGTCAGACCAACCTAAGGACCCCTCCGACCCCTGACCCTGGCGCCCCCCAGCCGCAGCTGAGAGGAGCCAGCGATCAGGGGTCGAAGAGGTCTTCAGGTTGAGAGCCCACATGGCCCCGCCACCTGGCCGCCAGGGCCCTCGTCGTGGCCTCAAAAGCACTCGACCCCAAGAGCTGGGCTCGGGCCAGCTGGAGCCCGAAAAGCGGGAGCGCCTCCAGAAACGAAAGCCTCTTCGGGCCCTCCGACGGGGATCCTACCTCGGTCACCTCCGAGCGCACATGGAAAAATGTTCAGACCAAAAACTGAATTTCGGCATCCGAGGGAGACGTGAGATCACCGAGCCTTCTCGCACCCATTGGGATGCTTCCCCTGGGTGATTTGATTATTATTCTTACTACTCGGGATCGGGCGACCTGGACAGTAGCCCTGGAGGCCACGTCCTTTCCTGTCCGAAACATAACCTCTACAAGTTGCGCAGAACAGAAAGACCAAAGTTTCTCCTGTCTCGGGGAGGAAAGGCGCTGCGAGCAAATAGTGCCCGCACACGCGCCGCGGCCTCAGCGTGCCGTCGAGACCCGGCAGCGGACTCCCCCCTGTGCACACGGGGCCCGCGCTGGCCGACGGGGCCGCATCCTCATCGCAGGGGTCAGCAGGATCCGCGGGCCACTCGCCCAGGTCGATGATCTCCAAGGCATTGGCCCCATGGAATCACGAGGGCCGATCCTGAGATGACACCTCCTGCTGCCGCGTACCTCGCCGCCAGGCGAGCGATGAAGTGGCAGCCCTCGATGCAGTGGACGTCGTTGGTGTCCGCCCGCGCGGCAGAGGCTCCTTCTTTAGCTCGAGCATCGGCCAAGGCGTTGCCGTCTTGCTCGAACTGCGTGATCAGACCTCCCCTGACGGCTTGCGCCCCAAGTGGGCCCTCACGTGGATGACCTCCGCGTCCTTGAGCCTCTCAGCTCGCCCAGCCCAGAGGTGGGCTCGCTGGCCGCCCGCAGCCGCCGCCGTCACAGGATTGCCGGCGCACCGCACGGTCGCAGGGCAGTCGCAGTAGACCTTGAAGGACCCCCCGCGATGGTGTCGGTGAAGACCTTCACTGTATAGTCCTCTCCGTCCTTGGCCAGCTGTTCAGGCCCTTCCGACAGCGGGACCGAGCCCCGCGCCTCGGCGACCAGCCTGCGGTTCTTGTCGAAGACGATGATGGACCAGCCAGCAGTCCTCAGGCTCGGGTAGTTCTGATCGAGCCCTGAGCCACCGAGAGCCACCGACGAAGACGTGCTCTCCGTCGGCGAAGGGCCCGAAGCTGGGCCAGCTGGTCGCGTCCTTGCATTAGTCGTCGGTTCGGAGCGGTCTCTGGACCAACTCCGAGATGTCGGGGAACAGCCCCCTGGCGAAAAGCTCCGTGAAAGGGTGGCCCGAGAGCTCGACTCGCCCAGCCGCCTCCCGCAAGGGCGACTCCAGGAACTCACGCCTCCAGCCATCATGGGCCTCGCACCTGAACCGCCTGTGGAAGAGGGGGCCGACGGGGTGGCCGAAGAGCTGGCAATCCTTGGGGGCGGATGGGCCCTCCGCTCCGACCCTGGCCTGGCACCAGGAGGTGTTCTGGATGAGGCAGCGCAGCGCTCTCTGGTGGTGCAGGCCCCACACCTCGGAGCGATGGCTGGCCAGGTCGAGGATCGGCCGCCAGAAGAGCGGCGCCTCCCGGCCCCACATGGTGGAGCCGTGCCGCTTCACCTCCTCGAGCCCCATGGCTCGTCGGCGGTCCAAGGAGACCATGTGGCCGAAGAAGGCTGGCGAGTCGAGACGCACTTGATACTCGTGGCCCAGCGCGTCGTGGAGCTTGCAGGGGTCGCCGTTGATGAATCCCCAGCCGACCCGCTCGAGCGCGAGCACCAAGGCGCTGATCGGCTCCTTCACCATGCGCCAAGGGTGCAGCCTCTTAGCGATGCTCAGGCCGTAGGCGAGGCAGGAGCGGGCAACGGCCTCTGGGAGCAGGGGGGCCTAGACCATCTCGACGTAGGCCATCAGCACCGTCTTGGTGACGATCGTCAGTGGGCCCCGCTTCCAGCCACCTGACTGACCGAGGCTGGCCAGCCCCAGTGCGGCTCCACGGGCAAGTCGGCCTCTCGCCTTGATGGCTCCGACTCGCAGCCGACGCAGGCGGCCGCTGGGCACTCCCATGATCGCCGAGCCCCAGGAGGCTTTAGCAGTGGGGCCTGCTCTGAAGACCCTCGCTCGGCTGACCTAGGGCCTGAACAGCCTGGTGAGCTTCCCCCCCTGGCCACGAGCGGCCTTCTCACGAGCCGCTGAGGTCGTCGCGCGTGGGTAGGAACCCGGCACGGCGTCGCCGCCAAGGCCCCTGCGCACGTCCACGAAACCGCCCTCCTCGATGTCCCAGCCAGGCTGGCATGCGAGGGCATCTCGAAGCTTCCTGCTGGTGGCCAGCGCCTTGGTCTTATTCCTGCTGAGCGGCAAGATGGCCTCCTTCACCTTCGCGCTGAAGGCCCGATAGGCAGCGGCCAGCTGCTGGGCTACCATGGTGCAAGGTCCAGTCACATGGCACGAGACGTCGTCGTCGTCGACCCCGTCGACGACCCTGGCGATGGGAGCCGCCAAGGCCGCTGCCCTGAGTGCCGAGATGAAGAGGAGCTTGGCCAACGCCGTGGCGCACGAGCAGCCTGCCACCACCGTGCCGTTCGCCGCGACGGCGTCGCTGAGGCAGGTGCCGACGCGGGCTCGCCGAGGGGCCAGATATGTGCAGCACAGCGCTCGCAGCAACCCCAGGTCGAAGCCCTGCGCCTGTGCCGCTATCCTGGCCTCCACGTGCCCGATGTGCTCGCAGTACTTAGCAAGGTCGGCGTAGGAGGACCCAGCCTCCTCGAGAGGGGACTTCGCGTGGGCCACGAAACCGCTGTGGAGCCAGGCCGCCTTGTCGCAACCTCGTGCTGAGGAGAAGGCCTGCTAATCGATGGGCCGCTCCCACTTGGCACGCTCCTTCTGTCGAATGCGTGACCGGATCCCGGCGAGCAGCGGCGCGAGCCCGATGGGGCGCTGGCCGTCGTCGGGCTTCGGCAAGACGACCATGCCGACAGCCCAGAGCGCCCTGCAGCGCGGGCTACGCTCCCAGGAATGAGCAAGCTGGCGAGCCCAAGTAGAATGTCGTCGCCGACCTCCAGCAGCAAGCGAGGATGGAAGTTGTCCCACCCCAAGCCCGTGGTTTTGGGAAACTTTCGGGCCACCAGCTTGAAATCGTCGGTCGCGATGGGATTAAACGCCCATTCCCCAGTCTCCCAATACCTCGGGCGCTCCTGATTTGTCCGACCTGGGTCCGCCCAGAGAGGGAGCCGGCCCGCGAGGGCACCCTCGAGCGCAGGCTGCCCAACGAGGGCAACGTCAGTAGAGCCCGCCTCCAGGATGGGCGCTGGCTCGACGTGGGTCTCCTTCGAGACCCCGTGGGCGATGGGCCCCTGCCGCTCGAAGGCCAGCTCGGTGAAGTCGCCCCGCTTCAGCTCGCTGGCCTGGGGGTCCTCCATGGCATTTCTGACCACGAGCTGCTCGATCATGGCCATGAGGTGGTGGCGCATGTCCGTCTAGAGGCCGACTTCGTCCCAGAAGCTGTCGAAGATGGAGCCGCCGAACATGGTGATGCCCAGGTGCTGGAACTCGCCGCGAGGACGGAGCACCGCCTCTCGCAGCTGCCGTCCCCGTCGGGTCTCGTGGCCGCGCGGCGAGCCGCCCGGGCCCAGATCCCACCTGCGCATGGCGGGGTGACGAAGGGAGAGCCAACGCCGGGTGATGGCCGAAGCCTTGTCGAGTCGGCCCGCTTGCACCTTGGCCCCGAGCGGGGCGGTGACCGTCCTGACGCACTTGGCCCTGCCCTTGATTGAGGAAGCGGGCCTCGTCGTCCGACATGCCTGGGGGCGCCTGCAAAGCCAGCTCTGCTTGCGCGAACCACTCCTTGATGGGGCCATGAGGCCCAGTGTCGGAGGGGGGCCATGCCGGCGACTCGACCAACTGGTCGCGCCTGCCTCTGGCCGTGTCATCGGCCGCGCTCTCCAATGCAAAGGCCTGAGGCACCCGCTGGGTCTGTGCCAC